TGAAGCAAAGCCCACAGTCCGAACAAATGAGGAGCTCAGAGGTTTCACGGGAGACCCAGGACTGAAACTTGAGGTTCCTGTCTGCAGATCTGGATTTGCTCAGGTAAAGAAATGGTTAACTGCTTGGCTGTTAACAGGTTGGCGATTTGAATCCACCTAGAGGCTCTGTGGGAGACAGACTTGGCGATCTGCTTCTGTAAAGATTATAACCTAGAAAACTGTATGGGGCAGTTCTCTGTCACACAGGGTCACCATGAGTCAAAACTGACTTGACGGCACAAAACGACATCTCAGCCACAGGGGCTGCCCAATGAGCAAAGGAACTGCCCCGCCTCACTTGTTGCTGTTGAAGCTTCCATTTGATTCTATTGAATTGTTTTAAAATATAACAATGTTGCTACCTTTGTAAATGAATATATATACCTGAGAATGTGTGTGTGTGTGCATAAAGAATTTAGGAAAAAAAATTAAAGGTAGATCAACATCTATAAATGCTAGGGAGAGATCTGTTGCTCTTGCTAGTTGGACCCCGACTCATGGTGATTCACAACAGAATTGGACTGTTGTGATCCACAGGGTTTTTGTTGACTGACTTTTGAAAGTAGATTGCCAGGCCTTTCTTCCTAGTCTGTTTTATCTGGAAGCTCCACCGAAACCTGTTCAGCATCATAGCAACATGCAAGCCTCCACTGACAGATGAGTAGTGGCTGTGCATGAGGGGCACTGGCCAGGAATCGAACCTGGGTCTCCTGTGTGGAAGGTGAGAATTCTACCACTGAACCGCAGTTAAGTGGGAAAAAGTCAGATGCACAGAAATGTGTTTATTATGATTATATGCTGGGAAAAACACCAACAAACCAATCAATCCCTTGTGTACGCTGAACTCTGTGAGCATGAGTTTGTACAAGTTAGAGAAAGCTGTGGAAGCGATTGAACCAGGTTCTCTCAAGGGAGGGAGGGCTGGAGGTGGAAGAACGACGAGGTTTGCTCTTAAGCATACTTGTAGTGGATTGATCCAGTCACATACATTTTTCTCAGAATTTGGAAAATATCAGATGAATAAAAGAAAAGAGATACTATTTTGTGTATCTTGCCATGGGCTTTTTTCAGAAAGCACAAATGTGTGTGGGATGTTTCTCCGTCACCTAGCGCTGTCTCAGTTCACCTCCACCCCACCCTACCCACTCCTACCCTTACTTCTCAGATGGGGAACCTAAGGCCTAGAAGTGGGAAGGGTCTTGGTCAAGGTCACAGGGCACCTCTTGGCTCCACTATAGCTCCAGCCCAAGGAATGTGCACAATGACGATTTCTGGGGTCCTGAAGGATCCTGGGTGGCTCAAATGATTAAGAATACGGCTACCGACAGAAAGGTTGTAAGTTCGAATCCACCCTGAGGCGCCTCAGAAGAAAGCCCTGGCGATCTGCTTCTGTAAAGATTACAGTCAAGAAAATGCTATGGGGTAGGGGCGTCATAAGTCAGAATTCACTCAAAGGCAACGGGAAGGGCAGAGTGGAAAACGGGGAGTTACTCTGAGGGTACAGGAAGAGAGGAGAGGAAGTGAGGGAGGAAGGGAAGAGGAGAGACAGAAGGGAGGGAAGGAGGTAGGAGGGAAAGAGAGACAAAGGGCACCAGGAGTGGGGGAAGGAGAGAAAGGAGGGAGAAGAAATTCAAACCAAACGCACTGCCATAGAGTTAATTCCGACTCATAGCGACCAGTCAAAAGAAAAAGACAAGGAGAGAAATGCTAGCTGGGCAGAGAGAAGTGAATGAGAAAGAAATCATGTTTGAGGGAGCTAGGAAGAGACTGTGGGAGAGACACACACATGTGAGGCGACAATGGGAAACAGTTCGAGAGGCAGTGAGAGACAGATGCGAAACTGCTCACACCAGCAGGGATGGAGAGACAGACACCCAGAGACAGACAAATGGAACGACACTGACAGACCATCAGAGAATAACAGGGACAGGGCCTCTGGAAATGACAGAGACAAAAGACACAGAGACAAATGACAGAGACACAGAGAGAGATGCAGAGACGACAGAGACACAGAGAGAAAGAAGCAGAGTCAGGCAGTCAGAAAGTCAGACAGTGACTCAGCCAGGCCAGGTGGGAAGATGCCCAGGCCCATACTGTACCACCTCCACAGTCCCTCACCCCCGCCCCCCGGGGGCTGAGGGCACCTTTGTGTGCAGTCATGGGCGACCTGGGTGGCTGCGGAGGTGTTTGTGCGACCACGGGTGTCTGCTCGTGCGGCTTTGGGGCAGTCTCTCTGACTGTGTTTACGTGGCTGTGCGTGACCGGGTCTGTGTGGGCGGAAGGCTGCCTGGGATGGTGACTATGCAAGTGGGGGGTTCTCCGTGCCAGGCTATCTCTGATTGTGTGTCCCTGACTCTTGGCTCAGGGCAGGGCCTGGGGGACTCCTCCAGACGCCCTGAATTCTCCCTTCTCCCTGCCGCCTAAGCCCCCAGCCCCTGGCCTCCTGTCTTCTTCTCTCCATCCTTTTCTCAGAAGGCATCTGCTTTACCACCTTCTCCCTGGAAGGCCTGGCCGGCTGGAGAGACTTAAGCCCAGCTACATATCCTCCACCCAGAGACTGCCCAATCCATCCCCTGAGCCCCTCACCCCAATTAACCTTTCCATTCTCCCAGTCCAGATCCATAGCAGACCCCCGGCCACCTCTCCAGCGTAAGGGCTTAAATTAAGCCGTTGACCCCTGCATTAAGCCTTCCCTTCCCTCTTCTACCAGTGGACGCCCTCCCTCCTCCCTCTGTCCATCTCTTATCCTATGTCCAGTCTGGGAACCCTGACATCCAGCCAGAGCTTCTTCCATCTGAGTCAGCCCAGCACCCCAACTTCCTAGACCCCCAGCTCCATTCCCCCATGTAACTGCAACATCCCCAAATACCAACACTTTCTCCCAACCTAGATGACCCAGCCAGGGGAACTGCAGTCCCTTTCCAGCTGGGAGACCAGATAGACACCCCCCAACCCCCCTACTTTCTTGGCCCAAGGACCTAGGTATCTGGACCCCCCTTTTGCCCCCTCCTCTTACTGACCTAGGAAGGTATCCATCCCCTGACCCTTACTCAGAGACGCATACCCGCCCCCCACCTCCCCTAGACAGGACCTCCTCCACCCAAGAGCCTTCTCCTTGAAGAGATGAAGACCCTCGACCTGATACGGATCGTAACCCCCAACACCCCAACTCAGCTCAGAGATCCTGCCCGGGGGTGGGGGGCTTCTACTCCAGGGTCTGACCTGTTCCTTGATCAGGAGCTGCAGACTCCCGCCCTCAGGCCGGGACCAGGTGTCCTCTCCCCGACCAGGAGCCGCAGCCCTCCGCCCCTAGGCCCCGGCCCCGGGACGCGGACCCCTGCTCGAGGGCGCGGATCCAGACATCTGAGGATCCCTTTCCCGGCTAGGGGATGCAGCCCCCGCCCCCAGGGCCCAGATCTCCGCGTCTAGGGGACTTCCCTTCCCGATCAGGGATGCAGCCCCCCCGCCCCCATTCCCCGCCCGGGAACCCTGGAGTCCCGGCCGAGCCCCCCGCCCCCGACGCTGCGGTACCTCGGCTGAT